CTTTTTTTTTTTTTTTTTTTTTTTTTTTTTTCCTAATTTCACTCAACTTCTTTCTCTCTCTCTTTTTTTTTTTTTTTTTTTGCACATGCAATCCTTGAACTTTTATTAGTAATGCAATTAAGATCAAAATATTTATTGAAGGTACCAAATGGACGTGATTCGACTTATATTATTTAAGCTACACTAATTATACCTAATCAAGTCAACTTGAGATTGTTTAGTATAATATTAATTTATGCTTATTCCACGAAGGCAAGACTATATGAACTCTTAAATTATATAAAATCAAAGAAGAAATATATATTATTTCCTTGAAATTATATCCGCCTAACTTTTCATCTACCATTGTTGTCGGACGTAAATAATTAGATCATGGTTGTTTTGCCCTTCTCATTATTACAGTACTTTCAGCTCGCATTTTTTAAACAATTTCTTCATGATACATTATAAAACTAATGATCCAGACTAATTTCAAGAGAAAATACTCATGTGAACTTATTAATGTATCTAACGAGGTGACATATTTCGAACACAAATACATGTTCGCTACTTATTTCTATTAGTTGTTAATGTTTGGAGTTTCATCTTAAAATATTAAACTTAATAAGAGGAGTAGTCCAAATCCTTATAAGTTGGTTTATATTTATATCTCTCTTCGAAGTAGGACTTATCTTTAAAATTGTCCTAGCAAAATGGTGGTTCATTTGAGTAATTCAAAATTGAAATTCTTGTACATTTTTTTGAATCTTAATTGAATCGAATTACTCATTAGAACTTAATGGGATGGTACAAACTCTTATAAGTTGATCTATATTTTCATCTTTATTTGATATGAAAATTTATCCCCTTAATATTTATTACCAACATATCAACATATTAGTGCAATAAATTGATCTTACTCTTTAGTATATCAAAGAACTTCTACATGAGTTATATTTGTGCATTTTGCACTTAACTCAAATTACCATAATGTGATCAATGACTCTTATTTGCATATTCAATTATGTAATGAACAATTTAAATGAATAAATAGCACTATATTTATTAATTGACGAAAACAAAATATAATAAATTACAATCATGTCCCAACACTCTTGGATGCATATCACAACAATCTCTCTCTCGCTCTAATTGTGTCACATGTCCTGCATTTCGATGCCTTCGACATAAGCCTCAATACAAGCAGCTGGCAAGCTTTCAGTAAATGGATTGACAAGGTTCTATTCAAAAGAAATCTTGCAAATCGTCACATCCTTATGATGGATTATCTGGATTATCTCTCTTAAGAGATGATATATGTGTCACATAATCAAATGATGTTTAACGAACGGAAATATTTTGAATTATTCCAAATCAAGGAGGGATAATTCGGGAAGGTAAAGGCAACATAATATATTAGTTAATCAACATCTGCTCACGTTGATCAATGGTTTGTAAA